ATAGCTTGTCATAATTTAACCGTCGTGTCGTGCGTTTGGAACGCCCACCGAAGCACATGGGCAGCTTGGCACATACTAATGCGTGGTCGGATTCGAGGGGAGTGCTCCAGTACGATCGGGATTAGGATACAAAGAACTGAGTGAAATGGGCAAATAGTGCACAATAACAATAATTTTTTTGCTAGCTTCATCCTACACTTTTTGATGCTTCGTGTTAGTTTATCGATTTTTGTCGGATACCGGAGTTCATTAGGCAAGGCTGCACAGTATTCGAGCCACTGAATTCTATTCTTGGCCATATCTCTCAGCGTCTCTAATCAACCATAATCCTCATCCTTTGGGCCCCGAACTAGACAGCGGACTGCACTAACCAGAGCAAAAGCTACAGATATATTTTCCATACGTCTGCGTCATGTCATGGTTTGACCTCCGGGGCGTTTCATTCAGCTTTGAGCATGTGCATGAGTAGAGGGCACGGAAAAGTAGGCAATGGACACACACACAAAATGTGACCAAGCCATCGGAGGCGGGGTAGAGTGATTACTTCTCTTAGCGAACGACTAACCGTACCAACACACGATAGCGAACCGAGTCACTGTCCACCCGATATTACCACCAGATATGGGCAATACTTCGGAGATATCGGCGGTCGGTTAGCATCCTGCACTCGGGAAAGGTCAAGTCTCGTAACCGTACGAACCGCGGCGACGTACACCTTTACCTTAAGGGATTCGGATGTCATGGCAGCGCTACAGGTGTAGCAAAAGCTATTCTAGCTTCCGGCGTTCATGATATGATCTCCCCGATACCACCTCTAACTTTGATTAAGTTCCCGAGATACTTAAAGCTCTCAACCATTTACAGCTGAACACCAGAGGGGGTGAGTGCAAGCGTATGCATCTGCCAGTTTTGATCATTGTACACTGAGAATCATGCAACGAAATTCACTGATCCGTATTGGACAAGCACTTTGCACTTAGATTGTGCAAAGCAGATAATATACCCGTATACCTCGATTGCCAAACGAGTTAAGACGCGTTGCACTGTGTTGTGATCCAACAAGGCGATGTCCAAATCAATAACTCTTCCCTGAGAGGAGTTCTACTCCACCCTTTGCTAGACCGGACGAAGTACTCTGTGGAACACCCCCATGGCAAAGTCGAAGAGGAAAGGGGTTATAGGGTAGTTTTGTCGAACTTTACCACAGTGGTGAAAGCTGACCATAGGCCCTAACTCGACCTGAGGTACAACTATTTGAGGATCGACAAATACTTCTCAGGTATTCCATACTTCAACAATCAGTTCCATAGTGCGACCTCATCGACAGTCGAAGGCCGCGCGGATGTCTAGAAACACAATGATCGTTGGCCTTTGATAGGCTCGACGGTGCTCTGGCACCTGTCGGAGGATGAAGCCCATGCTCTGGTTTTGAATCATATAAGGCACGAACGTCTCGGTCAGACAAGTGATAATGGGCCAACGGAGTTGGTTCACTCTGTCGTGGACCCGGGAGTCAAAGCATCAAAAGTAACATATGGCTAGACCCAACGCAGGTGATCTAATAGGGCCGCAATTTTTGGGGGGAACAACACCAGGGACAGCTCACTGCAAGGTGATCAACCAAAGGCCTTAGTATGGTGGGAGTAGGTGTACCGGCTTGATTGGTCAACCTTCCCTTACATCCGGCGAACTGCCCCCATGTGACCAAGCGTCTCAAATAACCTCCGCATAAGAAGCCCCACACACTGTTTTCTCGCGTTGGACGTGCCAAGGTGAGAGGAGGAAAAGCCTAAAGACGGATCAGGGAACCACTGGTACTTCACATAGGGAAGATGACTAAAATCCCTGATTCCAAGCCAACCAATAAAAGGCGTACAAATTACACCCGCTTTCATTTCTTGGTTGTGGCGGTGATCACCGACCCAATTGGGTATCGAAGTGCAATGATGTTGGACCCTGTGCGAAGGGCGTGGTCCGAGGAATCGGACCCAGGCCCCAAACGGACTGTGGACTCTGAACTCCATCTGGCCGCCTTGCAGTTCTGACTTTCTAGCCCATGGCTTCGGGTGGGGACCCCGAGGTTATCCTCTTTCCTCCGTCAGGACAACCGGGAAGTGACATGCCCACACAAATTACAGACACTTCATATTTTTACCCCATTGGCACATTTGCCAATTCTATATAACTGGTTATCTGTTGATGTGGCCAAGCTGAGCTAATCTATCCAGGGCAGACCATGACCACCTAAGCATCCTTGAGGCGTTGTTTCAACTGGGTGAGAATCACCTACCATTACAAGTATGTGTAGCGTTGAGTTGATCGAATCAGTTCGGTAATTGTCGTACAACTCGGCCTTCTTGGTGAAACAGAAACGTATGCCGAGATCTTCGACAACCCTTTTGACATTGCTCCCCTTCCAGAGGCTAATTGACCCCCGGAGTTGACTAGACAGTAATCCAATCGGCTTGCGAACAAGCAATTGAGATTCCAGTGATTACTTAATGAAATATCTACTCCGCGATGGCCTACGAGGCGAGCCCATGGTTGCTGGGAGATTACCGTACGGATAAACCCGGGACCATCAAGTGGCTCAGGCTACTAGGATCTTGCATCAGACCTATGGAAAGCAGCAGCCGCTACAGTTCAGACAAGCCTTTCGACCCCTGTGCGTGAACCGTCACATTGAAGATCCGCAGACTAAGTGATGGACGAGGCTTTGCAACCTATCATTACATGCGCTTAGTGCAATTTCGCAACGAGTCCAGGCAAGTAACAAACGAGTATGATGAATGAACATGTAAAAATAGCAATCACAGGCATTCGGATTTCCCAACAGTAACACATTTATGGTTGCCCTATCAGCTGGGTGCAATGGGTAGCGATGTACCCCGTGCGAAAACCAACCTGTGTATCCATCGGAGTTTGATGCATGGGAGTTCAATTATCAAGTAGAAGGATCAGAGATCCTAGCTATTCCTTAGTTCTAATAGGACAATGGGTGAAGCCTCCTTGCTTCGAACAGTTACTCCAACCGAGACGCCAACGGGGATCGAAATCCCCATTTTGAGGGCCGGGAGAGATGTCCTTCGGTGTGTAATTTCTTGGCAAAGCCATCCTGTTGGGTAACAATGGTGCACAGACAGGCCACCACAAGACAAAGGTTCAACCACAGCTTTTCGTTGAACCACCACTCGGGGCCGTCTTGGCGAACCGTTCATTTATACGCAACCAGCTCACATCACACCATTCATGAAAATTTGGAGGGTCTCCCTTATACTACACATTTCCGTCACACGTTGATGAGCTTGAATTCTACATGCAAACTCCGGCTTCGGCATTCTGCTTACAATCTCTTGACCGATTTGCGCATCCCGCACCACACATCCCATTTTGTATCAAACGCGTATTTATGTTAGACGACCCATTTGAGAATACCGAAGTATACACATTCTCGTAGATTACAGTTACTTATTGTGTAATGGGTGTCCTTTATACTAGATTCACTGTACCTCCGGAAGCTAATGGTTTTCGATTGTTCGTTGGTTAGATATCTATTTAATTATATACGCGGAAACCGGAGTCTGGCCTGATCCTAACTGCTTCCAACTACTCAGTACATTATTACCCTTGCGGTACTTACAATGAGTCACCATCAACCCAGTACAATTTGCTAGGGCAGAATAGGCATCGAATAAACGAACAACCCCATTGTTATTACCAAGGTATCAACCTCAATGCGCACTTCACAGCGTACGTAAAACGGCAGTCTTATGCACCCACCCCTCAGGTCAAAATATAACATGTTTGATCCGTGAAGGTTTATTATACACGCTACTCCTTTTCTGGTTTAGAGATGATGGTTCGAGTACCGCGTATTCTTCCTGTTCTCCTAGCGGCGATCAAACCAACCTTGCGACCATGCGATGCATCTCGTCGGATGGTGGATGGCTTACCAATATGTTGATGGTTACCACCACCGTGAGGATGTTCAACGGGCTGGAAACAAATGTTGGAAACAAATGAGTTTCAGAGATGCGAAAACACCATATCCTTATTCACTATACTTTTTAGTGGTCACGAATATCAGGTGAAGAGTGTTCGTGTTAGTGACAACAGTTGGGAATTCAGAGTAACAAAAAAAACAAGCACTTATAGATGCTATAAAAACAAAATGCGCTAGTCCAATATAATCAGATGAAAACGCAACTGTCCGAAGTGGAGATAAACTTGACACTCGGTTCAAGTCATGAGTTGAAGCAACCACCAACCTCACCACTAAGCTCCTCGTTCATGGTTGTTGTTTCGAATGCTGGCAGCAAATTCGAAGTCCTTTATTTCCGGAAGAGATCGAGGTGCACTTTCAACAAGCAGTGACTCCAACCCGGGAGTTCGTCAAACTCTAATGACGGAGCACTTTGGTTACAATTTTCAGATAGTCTACACTAATCTTGACAGACGCGACTACACACTCATTCCAGGCCGTCTGTTAATTGATATCGCATGCAGAGGACGCGAAACATGTTCTGCCATTACAGAACGACCACACCATGTGACATTTTATTGGCTGCGGATCACTGATCGACAGCCGCATTTCGGGGNTACTAACAGTCGGAGGGGAGTTTGAACACGGCGCAACTCACCTGATTTCATCACAGAAAATGGTGTTCACCAGGGTTACCCTCCTTCCTTGCCTAAAATTGTCATAGACTCGATTCTTGAAACAGCTAACTTTTTGCAGTAGTGGCATCGATTTGTTCCCAGGCGACTAATTATTCCAAGGTATGCGAATGAAATTTCAGTGCTAAGTTTCAGTTTGCACAACTATTGACCATGCACTATAGCGCGCCGGTATTGGTTGTTATTTGGATGAACATTGGGGGAAAGACAGGAAAAGTTGAAAGTAGTGCTAAGCTTTTCTGGATAGTTTGAACGCCAGTATAGCTATATTCCGTATGAATTTTGTATCTTCAAAGAGTAAGTTAGTCTGGCCCCCAACCTCACTTCAACTGTGGAACTACTGTATCAAGTGGGGAAATTTTATTTGAGCAGCTATATCACCAGGCGGACGCATCACGGACGGCTTACGCTGGCATCAAAAAGGATTGACCGGCATATGACAACTTGAGACGGTTTTGGCTTCGCGTAACATCCGACTATCTTTGAAGTGTCGAGTGTACCGTTAGTTCTTGACATGCAGTGCTGACTCACGAGTGCCCATTTGGATGAAGAGGTAAAGATTGGAATGTTCAAATTAGTGGTGGCGCAGTGGTTTAATCGGTCACAGACGTGCTTTAGATCCTGTGATCCGAGTTCCGCCACCTCCACCCAGCTTGGATGGTAGGCAGCTGTGCTGCTGTCCGGCCTAAAACCACACCTAACCTATCGGGGCCTTGCGCGGTTCGCCACTCCAAGCCACGAGGATTAGGACACCGGTTTCCATCGCTGAACAGCAGGCCCTTGCGACTATGGGACTTTCTCCGTTTGCTGTCTATCACACGAAAATGCAAAGAATTCCCGAAGACGGGTTGCAAGGACGTGAACATATACTTAGGTTCAGTTTTTCGGCTTCAATTTGTACAACCATTAACCATGCACTCTTGTGCGCCGGTTTTGGTTGGTCTTTTGACTACTCATTTGGATGAAAAGTAGGAGACGCAGGAAGATTGAAAGTAGAATCGAAGAAAACTGAGAATCTCAGTGAACTTAATTTGCAAACAATTGAGATGCACAAACGCCACTGTTTACGACTTCCAGCTATATCAGCCTCTAATCATAGATTACGGCGAGCTCGAGGTCCCCACACCGGGAGTCTAACACTCATTTAATACTTATTGTCTCCATACATTGACTAAACTCATCGTGAACTCCCTACGCTGGAAGCCCAACGCGATCCATGTGAACAAGAGTTAGTGGCATTGACACTCAGGTTTTGGCTTGACCATCCTTCACCGTAGCGGNGTTCCAACACCGTTGTCAACACAATTGCACGATTCTGGTGTTAACCAGATAAGAATGCTGATTGGGCGAGGATTTATGCGGTCGGAAAGTAGCTGAGTTCTATAAATTGCGTTGGCTGGAACATGTATAAAGCATGTCACCAAATAGATTTTCACTGTGGGCGGTTTGTTGATATAAATAATTGGTGGGGTAAAAGCATAGGGTGGCTAAACCAATATCTGATATAAAAGTATGAAAACAAAGATAACAGGTTGCGCTAAGCCCTCCGGATGGTAAACTTGGGTCCGTTGTAACCTATGGTTCCATACACACCGCTCATGCATTCCAAGATCTCCTTAAGCTTACTCTACCGAAAATCACCACCATCAAAAAACGGCAACTACAAGCGTCGAATGGAAGTGTATGGTCAATGGTTGTCCACAATGAACTGAGCTGGTGTTCGGTCGAGCGTATTAGTGGCGACGTGCTACAAACTCAACAAGTATACCAAGCTAATCACAATAAAGTTGACAGCAATTCTACGCTGACGAAGCCGACTAAATGGTCACGATAGGTTTGTTCGACATTGGGAGACTACTGGAACGGGGAACAGAGATGGTATGGTACATTACAACACCTAAGCTAATGCACTTGTTGGGGATCAAAACCGCCGTCGTTACGTTTGTACCCGGTAGAACCTACCGCTCACGCATAATCCCAGGAGTAGCAAACCAGTGAATACCTCACCGGTCACACTAAGATTCAAAGGTACAAGACGTAGTGAACAGGCTCACACGATGCGTGCTGGTCTACGGTTCCTTTGTAGCGACCGTCTACATGAGCTTCTTTCTTTATTGCCAACAATG